CATAATTAAGGGGTTTTGGGTGATCAATTAATGCATAGAGGGAAAGATATATAAAATTCTAGCTATGTTCGTCTTTAATCTGCTTTCTTAGTTAATTTAGATAATTTCAGTTATTTAGCTATAATCAAGAAACACAATTTCAGTTAATATACATATATATATATATATATATATATATATATATATATATATATATATATATATATATATATATATAAAAAAACAATATATCATTATAGTATTGATACATACACTTAGGGATGGCAAAAAAACCCGAACCGCTAGCTATCCGTGGGTATCCGCTCCGTTTAAAATCCGTTACCGAAACCATTAGGGTTTGGTAATGGTTTTGGTAAAAGAAATGAAAACCGTCATGGTTTTGGTATGGTTCTGGTTTTACCTTTACGGTCATGGGTACCCGACCGTTTAATAAATATATATATATATATATTTTTTTAATTCAACAATATGAATAAAAAAATAAGTTGGCAAAATTTTAAAGAAAGTATTAAATAATTTAGGGAGGATATATTTGTATAATTTACTTTTTTTTTTCTTTTCTTTTTTTTCTTAATCTTTTCTGAGAGTTACTTAAACGTTATCGGACTTCAAGTTATTTTTTATTATCATAATTTAAATGGTAAATGGGTATCCGTGGGTATCCGAATATTCGTGGTAATGGTTATGGTATTTCCATTAACTTTTTAAAAGGGTTTGGTATGGTCATGGTTTGAGCTATATTAAATGGTAATGGTTCTGGTATTGGACTTTTTCGAGGGTACCCGCTCCGCTGCCATCCCTACATAATACACTGATACCTTATTAGTTAGGTACGATCGTAGTGACAACGTTGTTTGCCTAATCATGTGAAAATTAATGTTGTCGTCGCTAAAAAAGATTATTTCTTGCAGTGGCAGATCAGTAGTAATACGTAGAACAAATTAGACATAGATAGAAACTATATTACAGATGAGTAATAATAATAAAAATGCATGATATATATATGATCATTGTAAGTTTGAATTACAACATTAGTTTAATTTGATGGGCCGAATTGGAAACCAACTTTCCTAGTAAATTATATACGAATAATATGAATCAATCAAAAAGTACCTTCTGTGGGCCCACCCCCAAAAAAGAAAGAAAAAAAAAAAATCTTAACTGTGCATAAAGCAAAGGACACAGACAACATTATGTGTGCATGGTAGTGTGCATGTGTGTGTGTGTGTGTGAGAGAGAGAGAAATCTAGAGGGAGAGAGAGAGAGAGAGAGAGAGAGAGAGAGAGAGAGAGAGAGAGAGAAGGGTAAATGGGGTTTGAAAATCTATAAATAGCTCATGTAAGTACATGCAGAAATAATATACATACTTAGAGAGAGAGAGAGGTAGAAGAACTATATATATATATATAGAGATAGATAGATAGATAGATAGATATATAGTAGGTAGAGAGAGAAAGAAGAGAGTTGGAATGCCGAGAGATAGAGATCCGCTGGTGGTGGGAAGGGTGATCGGAGATGTGTTGGAGCCGTTCACAAGATCGATCGGACTGAGGGTTGTTTACAGCAGCAGAGAGGTCAACAATGGCTGCGAGTTTCGCCCTTCTCAGATAGTTAACCAACCTAGGGTTGAAGTTGGTGGCGACGACCTCCGCACCTGCTACACTCTCGTACGTATCTGTATCTATATATCTTTGTGTACGTTGTATCTATTATCTGTATGTATGTACGTATATATATATATATATATATATATATATATATATATTATTCATTATTTCACTTGCAGGTTATGGTTGACCCTGATGCTCCAAGCCCTAGTGACCCTAGTCTTAGGGAATACCTTCACTGGTGAGTCCGCATATATCATCTCGAAACCCGAAACCTAAAATCTGAAACCCAGTTTCGATTTTCGGTTTCGGTTTCGGTTTTGGTTTTCGATTTTGGTTTGGTTTTGGGTTCAATTTGCAGTTCATTTTCAGTTTCCGGTTCGGTTTCAGTTTTCAGTTTTTCTTTTTTAGTTCAGTTACGATTTTCAGTTTTATGTCTCTATTTTGGTTTGGTTTTCAGTTTTCAGTTCGTTTTCGGTTTTCGGGTTTTTTTAGTTCAGTTTTAGTTTTTTACGTGTTATCCGACAATAAAAAGAACCATTTGCTCCCAAAATTAATTTAGTCAACCAAAATTTTGTTAAAAGTAAGGTTACGCTCAATTATATATATATATATATATATATATATATATATATATATATATATATATATATATATATATATATATATATATATATATATATATATATATATATATATATATATATATATATATATATATATATATATATATATATATTTTGTGGTTTTAGACTTCTGAATAAACATAAAACGCCAAAGGGGTTAATAGTTGTCCAGTAGATTTCTTTCTTTCTTTTTTCAGAAAAAATAAATAAAAGAAAATCAATTTCTTGGGCAGTGAAAAATTAGAAAAATGATTTTATTCTCCAAAAAAGCATTGAGACAAAATTAAATAATTATTGTGTTGGTAAAAAAAAAATCTCCATTGACTGATTGATTTGCACGTGTCCTTGAAATAGTGATTCTGTAGCCGTACTAGGTTTTTTTTTTTTGTTTCTTGATTTTTCTGGTCCTATTTATTCACTGTCCTATTATATTCTAAGTTAAATTAAATATTAAAAATATTTTTTTGTGTACTTTTAATACTTAATTCTGTTAATTAACTTTAATCTCACTAATTCTCAATTTAGGCTCGTGACAGATATTCCTGGAACAACTGGAGTAACCTTTGGTGAGTTATCTTAATTCAAAATCTTGCATAACCTTTTTTATATATATATATATATATATAGTAGTGAATGATCTTTAATCGAATTGGACATGAATCGAGCTCGAGTTAAGCTAACTTCGTATTTAGTTTAAACGAAAAACAAATATTGTTGAAATTTGATTTGTTATATTAAACAAATATTTAATATATATATATATATATATATTAAAAAAAAGTCAAAATTCTCTTTATGTCATTCATTTATAATTTTTATCCCAAACATGATTAAGAACCACTACACAAGAAATGTCCTACAAATAGATATTGGTGGACAAGGTGTATTTTTTCCACTAATTATTTTTATTATTTTATTTTTTTTATTATTTTTTTCCTAAGTGGTCACGTTTATCAATTTCTTTTTCATCCTTAACGTGTCGAAACATAAAATAGGTTTGAATAAAGAGGACCTTTTAAATCAATTTGATTGGTCAATTCATCAGTCAAAATCAGATAATGCCACGTGGCTACTTAATTATTCTTCTTCTTACCCCTCTAGAAACTACGTCGTCTTCTTCAATTTGTGGGTTTCTTTTTTCTTGGACCAAAAGGAAAAAAGAAAATCACTTTTTTATGGTGCTATGTGGCTTTTTTTTTTTTTTTTTCCATTTTTTTTAAAATTTTAATTATCTATTATTACATTTTAGTTAATTACTCTCTAAATTGTTTTTGTTCAATGTAGGGCAAGAGATAGTTTGTTACGAGAATCCACGGCCTTCGATGGGCATCCACCGCTTCGTTTTCGTGTTGTTCCGCCAATTAGGGCGGCAAACGGTGTACGCCCCGGGGTGGCGTCAAAACTTCAACACTAGGGATTTTGCTGAGCTGTACAATCTCGGTTCTCCGGTGGCGGCTGTTTATTTTAACTGTCAACGGGAGAGTGGCACCGGTGGAAGGAGACGATGAATGAATTAATTAAAAAGAAATTGGGACCTATATAAAGCCTAATTTGAATGTGTTTAGTTATGTGGGGAAAAAATATGTCACGTGGAAGTTTGCATATGCTAAGAATTGGGGTATCGTGTGGGGTTGTAATGTAATGTAATCTACTTTTTTCTAGTTAGGAGTTTGATTTTGAATTTTCTAGAGGATGTTTGTAATGAATAAATTTGATGAATAAATAAAATGATCTCCATGGAGTTAGGGGTATTTATGACTTAGTTACTTATTTATAAATTTAATATAATGTCCATATAGTCTTGATAGTGATTGTATATAGTCTTGATAATTACAATCACGCACCTGAAACTTTGTTAGAAATCTAATAGAATAGTATATTGGATAAGTTATTCCGTTAGAATTCTAATAAACTATTAGTTTCCGCCTTCCGATAGTGGTGGAGATAACGTAAAACTAGGCGAGTGATATGACTCTCCTAATATTTTTTAAAAATCATTATTATTTAGATTTATAAATTTTCGTCTATGGTAGCAGCATAAATGACCCCGCGGGAAACAAAAATAGTACACATTGGTCTCTAGGACATGAAATTTTGGCTTCAATAATTGTTTCAGATGTGTGGTTGTAATTGTCAATACCATGGGAACCTTAAAATTAGTTTAGCATACATCAAGGGTGTAAGTGTAATTTAAGCCACCAAAATATAATTGTGTATACGTAAGTATAACTAAATTCATCTTTGTCATTGGTGATGTCATATCAATGACAAGGTTAGTGATAATAAGCCACGTTTTATTTAATGTTAATTATTATAATTAATGGCAATTGTCTAGAGACCTCTTATTTCATCTTTGATCTAATTTGTTAGATGAATATAGGATTTAGGGGATAAATAAAATAAAATAAAGTGATTAACAAATCTCACTTATCATTCTTTGTTTTTTTTTCTCATTGATTATCACGTGACTTTCTCTCTCCTCCATTCGTTCAAATAATAATCATAATTGTAGCCCGCATGGATGTAGCTCAACTGGTTCCGGAGGTGATAAGTTGGTGCAAGGTCCTAGGATCGAATCCTGGCAGCCGCAGTGTGGGAATTTCAACTCCAAATGAGGGTTGGTTCCTTGTGTGCACCAGGTCCGGGTCCGCTACCTTAACGGGCCGTTGAGTTACCATGATTTACATTCCTCCATCAATCCTCGTCGGGCGAGAGATTTCGCCTTTTGGTGCAAATAATTATAATTGTACGAATAAATATGTAGAATTCTTTACCGGCTTATAATTGAACAAAGAAATTGATAGTTCATAATTTTATATCGAGTTTAATCATATTATATTTGATTTGTTGCATATGAGATTTTCAAATAGATTTCTAAAATTGAAGAAATCGTCAATCGTACAATAACTAGTATTATATAACTTTTGCGCTGTAGAATTAAAAAACACAATAATATATTATATTTCTCATTTTGCAAAAAAATACATTAAGGTTTTCATTTTATAGATAGTTATTTTTAAATTAAAACAAGAGAAATTTTGACTTGATAGAGTAACCGACGAACAATTGGTATGGTTGCAATCTGGCTAAACTTTAGGGGTAATTTAGTCTTTTTCAGTTTTCAATTCAAGAGGGTTATGTGTCTAATTTCATACCATAAGGCTGGCATGTCCAAAATGTCAAAACCACAGGGGTTATGTGCCTAATTTCAAACCATAAGGGGGTAATGTGCAAAATTTCCAAACCACAAGGGGGTTAAGTGCTATTTACCTTAAATAATATTGCTCTTGATATTTTTAAAAGTTAACAAAAAAATAGAAATAATAATAATGCATAATGTTGTATTATTAAGCGCCTAAATGGGCCGAGAAGCAACTGGTTCGGGCCAAGCTCTTTATTGGGCCGGTCTATTGATAAATAACAAAAAATACCCCCATCTACTCTTAATTACCAAAACCCCCTGAGGTTTGTTTCCATCTTACACCAATCCCGTACAGTTTGACTTTTCACGGCTTATTTTTTATTTCAGAAAATAGACTTTTTCACAACTTCAGATACTTTCTTTAATTTATCACCTATTTAACATAAGGTATAATAGATTGTACACATTTTCTTTTAAAAAAATTGGAGGTGTTAATTTAGCCTAGTTCAGGAGGGTTTTCGGTATTTATATGAAATATATTTGTATGAGCATACATAAAAATATATAATTTACATGTACATGATAATTTTATTAATTTACATTTTTTTTGTTTAATTTATTGTGGTATACTTTTTAGGGCAAATTACAAGGATCCGAGGGTAAGGTTAATTACGAAAAAACCCTCACTCATTCATTGTTGGTGTAATTACTACCATCCCGTGAAACTAACAGGTTGCAAAAAATCCTAAAAAAATGTAGTAACTATCTAAAATACCTACGTGTTAAAATAATTAAGTAAAAGAGAAAAAAAGTCTTAATTGAAATTTTGATTTTCTTACATTTGGACCTCATGCAGTGTAAAAACTTACACATAACCTTTTATGACCCAAAAAACAGCTAACTAACAGTAAATAAAATAAAAAATCTAAAAAAAATTAGAATTGTTTTACAAACCTTACAATTAAACCCCTAAGGCCTCGTTTGGTTTGTTTGATAAAGGGTGATTGATTAATTAGTCCAACTCAATCACATGTTTGGTTTGCTTGACTAAGGCCCATGATTGATGACGGGCCCAGTTCTTAATCCCTTATTTGAGGGATAAATTATCCACCCAATATTGGGAGTATTGTCCAATTGAGAAGCAGCTTTGTTCAAGTGGCATATTTTGTGGACACTTTTAACCCTCCAGAATTAATTGAATCTCAAAATATCTATTTTTTTCCCACCAACCCACTAAAAGCAAATCCCCATTTCCACCATTTTCTTTGTTTCCAGCAGGTGAGCCTTCCACAGCGAAGAACACACGCTTCCGAGGTTTACTTAATTAATTATTTCTTAATACTTTACATACCTGAATCGCGATCTACAGTTTCTTAGGAAAATATTGCAAATCACTAATTTCCTTTTTTTTCCCTTAGATTTGCCGCAGGGGTTTCTTTCCGCACCGAAGAACACACCCTTCATCGAAGACTACCTGAGGTAAATGATTTTATTTATTTTTGTACCTGGGCATTACATTCTTGATTCACCATCTATATACCATGTTCTGAATTTTGGAATCGAACATTTAGTAGAGTTCCTCCAACTGTCGGTGCTCCCTCTGCAGCCGGTAAATAGGTGAGGTGAATCTTCTCTGACCCATCCATAATTTTTAAATATTTTTTAAAATAAATATATACGGTGTTGTAGACCTACGAGTTCTGTAATTTATTGTACTTCATACATGATTTAGCTTTGTTATTGACTCAGTTATTGCACTTTCGTACAGTTTTTGTTTGAGATGGATATTAGAGAAGAGCATGAAGAAATCTTGTTGGTTTTGGAAGAAATAATTTGCATATCCAAGTATTTCCTTATGGCATGTTATGGGGCTTATCGTAAGTTGAAAGAACGTCGCGCAATTCGTAATCGTATTGCGTTTCCTATAGTTTGAATGTTCAAGTGCCCGATCAATTAGAGAAAATTAATAGGCTCATTCATGGTTCCGAAGTTTATTGTTTTGACAATTTGCGTATGTCTAGAAATGTATTTGCCCGTCTTTGTTTTCTTGTTCAAAATTTTGGTGGCTTAGTTGATACACGCCATGTCAAAGTTAATGAACAATTGGCCATGTTCTTGCATATATTGGGACATCACACAAAAAATAGGATTGTAGGGTATAATTTCAACAGATCCGGGTACACAGTTAGTAAGCACTTCAATCGTGTTCTGAGTGCTATAATTAAGCTATATCCCTTGTTCATTGTGAAGCCAAAACCTATTGACGAGGGCTGTACAGACGTTCAGTGGAAAGTGTTCAAGGTAATAAACACATTTTCTAAATTTAATATATGTATGTAAAGTAATTTGCAAAGCAACTATTATGAAAACTATCGTTTTGAATGTGTAGGGATGTTTGGGAGCATTAGATGGTACTTATGTCAAAGTTAGGGTTGCCCAAGAAGATAAAGCGCGGTATAGAAATCGAAAGGGAGATATCTCGGTAAACGTGGTAGGTGTGTGCGATGCAAGTATGTGTTTTAGTTATGTTTTGACTGGATGGGAGGGTTCTGCGGCTGATAGTAGAGTCCTTCGAGATGCCGTTTGTAGACCGAATGGTTTGATAATCCCCGACGGTATTGCATATTCCTTCAACTTTTACAATTTTGATTCCACATATATGTGCCTTGAAATGATTTTTATTGTGTTGGGATTTACAGGAAATTACTATCTTTGCGACAATGGATACACAAATGGACAGGGTTTTTTAGCCCCGTATAGAGGTGTGAGGTATCACTTGGATGAATGGGATGGTAATAATGCGCCTCGAAATTATAAGGAATTTTTCAATATGAAGCATGCGAAACAAGACTTCCACCCATCCACAATCCCACTAATGATCCTGAACTTAGATTTATTGAAAGTGTAGAAACTTCACAACAATGGGTGTCGTGGAGGGACGATATTGCGAGAGCCATGTACGATGAGTGGAGCAGACGATAGTTTTAGTTAATTTTACTAATTTGCTACAAAGACTCGTAATCCTCCTCCTCATCTATCTTTGTTGCAGGCTCGTAATCTCGTAGCAAGTACGTCCACATCTCACTGTCTTTCGAATCATCGCGGTCACTTGATATGTTGATGAGATCAACATACGGATTTGGTGGCGCAATATCTGGCTCAACAGATGAGTTCTCCTTGTAGATATCCTCGGATGAAGAATCAACAACAATGAGGTCGTCACTCTTCCAGCCAAATGTATGTTTCTCGCTGAAGATGAACGACAGTTTCTTCCACTCAGCGTCACCCCATGGCTTGTATGCACGACCTATCTTGAACCGCTATGAAAAAATAAAAAGTCAAATATATTCTAATATTGAAAAACAGTTTAATATACATAAATTTAAAAAAATTAAAATAAATAAAAACCAGATTACTTACATAAATGATGTACTCCCAAGTCGACTCTTTTGCAATCACGAAATTGATTTCCTCATCGTACTCAACACCCGATAAAGAGATGATGGCCTTAAACGTCCGATACCTCATTTCCATGAACTTCAACTTCTGTTCACACTTCTCGTAGGTAAATGTTGTTCCAAATTCCTTGTTGATGGTACTTAAACCACGTAGGATAGTAGCACTGTTTTTTGTACCCCACCAGAAGTTGCCCTTCTTTGCATCTTCGACCACAACTTCCATAAAACGTCGATCAACACGCCAAGTCCATTCTTCATCGTAGAAGAACGCATCTTGATGAAATTTCGGAAGCGGAGCCATTTACAACGAACGATAAAAGACTGTAATTTAAAGTAAAAAAAAAACTGCTGGTGTTCTTTCATGAAGAGTTGGGCTCTATTTATAATAGAAGTTTAATGAGTGGTAGGTTTACTACACTTAATGCAGGACCAGGTGAAATGATTAACATTCTCCTTGGAAACGTATGAAATTTAATACTTATTATCTGCTTGTACACATAAATGGGTAAAATAAAATACACTTAATGCAACCGGAGGTGAAATAAAGTGGAATGATTAACCTTCTCCTTGGAAATGTAAAACAACAAGAAAGAAATTTAAAACTTTTTATTTCACCTTATACGCATAAATGAGATTAAATTACTACACTTAAATGCAGGCAAAAGAGAAATGATTAATATTCTCCATGAAAACGTATAAAAGCAAGAAATGTATTCAAAATTCTCACCTTATACGCATAAATGGGGAAAATTTGTTGTTTCCCAACTACATAGCATTAATTATGTATCAGAAAAAAAAAAAAAAAAATCAATTTGACATGACAAGTCTAATTTAATTTATAATAAACAACAATAAAAATGAATATAGACTAAATCCATGTTCATCTGCTCAAATTAATACTTCAAAAAAATGGAGGGGCTGCAATTTACAAAATAAAATATAAACAATTGTGAAACAACATCATGCAATTAATTAAAAACGATCTGTTCTTTTAATTTGCATACACACCACACCACCTATGACATAGTCATCATGATAAACATTAAGAACAACATAACAATTATAGAAATCCAAGCAAATAGCTTAATTGATTTTACTTTATTTTTATACAATAGTACCTGGCCTTCTAAAGTAGATATCTCTTGTTCGTATCCATTAATCTTTGCCAACAACCCAAAAATTACCTCAATAGACGTCGGCTCGCGAGTGGAATCGTCACACCATTTGAAGAAGTTACAACGATATTCCTACAAAAACCAATTTCACCACAATAAAATTAAACCCAGTATACTTATTAAACCAAGATTAATGAAAAATGACTAATAAAAAAAATGCAGGCACAAACTATTTGAATTAAATAATTTCAATTATAAGAACTTGCCTTTGTCAAGGAACAACAATAAAAAAGTCTTCCTGGGTTTTTTTCCGTCCTCGACGTTTTTGTTGTTGTTTCCAGACCGCAATGACAACGGAAAATTGACCCATAATAATTTGGATTAGACGCCACACTGTGATTCGAACTGCTGCTTGCCCGATTACGCACATTATTGGAACTCGAACTCATCCTGTCAAAAGATTTCATGAGCATTGTAATAAACGTTCAGATTGACGAATGTAAAATGCATTATCCTATACAAAAATAAATTTAATTTACCTAATTCGGATCCAAGGTTTCTCTGTTGCAGGGGTTGAAGGAAGAAAACCCTAGATTCAACCGTAGTGGAATTGGGGGCGTCTTTCGGTTTTTTATTTAATTAAATCTTACAACTCTATTTTTAAGGGTGTATTGGTATTCGGGGTTTTTTTAAGGGTGTTTTCGTATTTTACCAAACAATTTCAGTAAACAAATTAAATATTATGATTTTAAACTAAAAATCAATCACCCAAACCAAACACGAAATAACTTGGATTTGAAAAGGTTTGAACATTACAATCCTTTGACTATTTATCAATCCTTACAATCCCATAACCTAAACCAAACGAGGCCTAAGGGTATTTTGGTCACTACAAAATGGATAATTTCATGGAATCTATCTAATTCCGTTATTGTTAGCTATGTGAGGGTAAATTTGCTAGACGTAGAATACCCAAGGAGAGTGCTCGTAATTATGCAAACATAGAGGGTTGTTTCGTAATTATAACAAAATTAAATAATTGCACGTAGTCGGCACGTGTGTAGAATTGAAACTCGGAGTTGCCGAAGTGGCGGACAGATGTTCCAAATTTAAGCGCCAAAAAATGAAAAATAAAATTTATTCCATTTTTGGAGCCAACTTTTTCCCTCTCACAGGCGGGAGAATTATATTCTTGATTACTAAAATTAAATCACATAAAATTAAAGCTCTAGTTCCGAGGAGGGTTTTCTCTTTCAATCGGTGCATTTCTTCCTTTCATTTTTTCATCAAACCCTCGATTTCTTTCGAAGAAAATCGTTTACTGTAAGTGCTGTTCGATTTTTATTTTTTTTTTGTGGTGTGGATAATCTGCAGATTAGTATTGAATTTTTTTTTGAAATTCATCTGGAAATTTTGGAAACCAAAGTGATTTTCGGATCTAGGGTTTTCATTTTCCCGGTGAAAAAAGTTAAGAAATTGCGGAAATTGATTCATTGCATGCATTAATGGCGGAAGTTGAACCGATGATAATTGACGGCGGCGACGGGAGGAAGCCCATGGCCGACGGGCCGGGCCAGAAGAAGAGGCAACTGAAGAGGAAAAGAGTGGAGCCATGTTTGTCATCCACACCAAGCCCGGAAGAAAAAACCGCGAAAATTACCGATTTCCGTAGCGAAATCGACAGCCTTGTTCGATTCTGCAAAGACTTAGTCCGGGAAAATAGAGGGGTATTGTTGGAAAATGTGGAGGGAGTTGGGGTTTCTTCTGGTTCATTGAATGGTGTGATTGCGTGTTTGATGGAAGAGAGTGATCTTTCTCTGTCGAAGATTGTCGACGAGATTTTCGAGAAAGTTAGGGGTAAATTTGGAAATAGTGACGGCGTTACGAAAGCTAGTGTGAAGAGTAGTGTGCTTTTAATTGGGCAGAGGTTGTGCTATGGTGTGAGTGAGGCCGATGCCGATGTTTTGGAGGATGAAGCTCCGTGTGCTCTTTGGTGTTGGGAGGTATGAATTTTCATCCGGTTAATTCGTTTCTAAATTCAAATGCAAATGCAAATGCTGATGTTTTGAAATGAGTTGAGTTAGTTTCTTGATTTAGCAGCAATCGTTATAGACAGCGTATTGTATGATATGCCGTGTTCACTTTCGTTTCTTTAGTGCTCCGTTTGTCGTGTTTATTGAATTATGTCGTTCGATACGTGTCTTATTTATCATTTATCGAATTGAATTATGTCGTTCGATAATGGTAGGTTGTCTTACTGAATACTGTTTTGATATGTTTAAGACGAGAGATTTGAAGATGATGCCGAAACTAACGCGTTCGTCTCTGAAAGTCCGGCGCACTTGTCGGAAAAAGATCCAAGAGAGGATTACGGCTCTTTTGGGTAAGTACTGATTCGTCTGCTTTATAGCTGTTGACGCGATTTCGCATTGCCTGCTGGTATTTAATCTAGTACTCGCAATTTTTGAATATTTCAGCGATGATAAATGCACTGGAAAAGGCGGAGAATCATCCCAATTGTCTGCAAGAATTGATGAAAGCTTCGGAAAAGCTCAACAAAGTTTTAAACGAGGCGGATATCCGGTTGTTAGTGGAGAACATGTCACATAAAAGTGGTGCTGAAGTGTATGTACAGTAGAACCTCGATAAACTAATATTCGATAAATTAATAACCTCGCTTAAATAATAATTTATTTCGATCCCGGGCTCGATGAAAACATATTAAATTATTAGTTCGATAATTTAAATTTTGCTTAATTAATAGAATTTCGCTAGTCCCGACTGCATTAATTTATATCTTGATTACTATTGAACCATTGTCTTAACCATAATTTATTGGTTAAAGGGCCGAGAAGGAAGCAAAGAGGGACGAGAGACTACTAATCAAACAAATGGAGAAGTCCAAACGAGAAATGGAGAAAGAGAGGAAGAAGATCGATCGGGAACTTCAGAAGGAAAAATTGCAAAGTGTATGTTCTGTTTTCAATCTTTTTTTTTCGGTCGTGAATATATCCCGTTTTTTTTTTCCTATTTAAATTGATTCTGTAATATTAATAGTATCTGTTGCATGTATTATAACTTGAGTTTTCAAAATCCTTGCAGGAAAAAGAGCTAAAGCGGTTGCATGACGAGGCAGAGAAAGAAGAGCGAAGGCGTGAGAAAGAAGAAAACGATATGCAGAAACATTTGAAAAGGCAGCAAGAAGAAGCAGAGAAAGATAAAAAACGCAAAGAAAAAGAAGAAGCCGAGTTAAGAAAACAGCTCGCCCTCCAAAAACAAGCTTCGCTTATGGAACGCTTTCTGAAGAAAACCAAACCTACTTCATCTTCTCCAAATGACACTTCGATGAAAAAATCCGAGTCATCATCTCCCAATATACCCGAAGGAACATCCGAGTCGGTTACTCAAGCCATGGATTCTGTACTGGCCAAAAATGATGGAGTCGAAGCTGAAGATATATGGAAGTTCGTCTCTTCCACCTTCTCCCTTTTCCCTATTTTCGTGTTTTCTTTTCAGAAGGTCCTGAATTTATCCTTTTGTTTGTTTGTTTGTTCCTTTTTCAGTTCTCACTTAAATTCTTGGCGATGCATTGGGCGTTCGATACAGTCAAACAGGAAAATGCATTGGGGCATACGTAAGAACCCGAAGACTGAACTGGTCAAGGAAATCAAGCTTACTACAAACAAAGAACTGACTTCTGATGGTGACTTAAACATGGAGGGGTCGTCTCAAACGAACAATGTTAATAGTCCTCTTCCTTGTGATGATAAGACGAGAATTCGAGTTAAGAAGCTGTTGCAGTTTGATAAGAGTCATCGGCCTGCATTTTATGGTGTTTGGCCCAAGAAAAGGTCGGCCCCGTTACTGAATTTAATGTATATGTATATATATATATATATATATATATATATATATTGTGTATTATGAGAAGAATGACTAATGATTAATGCATGCATTTTGCTATTTTTTTCAGTCAAGTTGTTGGTGGACGAAACCCCTTTGTTAAGGACTCGGAGATAGATTACGATATTGATAGCGATGAGGAGTGGGAAGAGGTATATTTTAGTGCTGTTGTAGTAGTATTATTCTTGTTTATTGTAATGATTAATTCACAATTAATATATTTTCGGTTTAAACAGGATGAACCTGGTGAAAGCCTATCGGATTGCGAGAAAGATAACGAAGATGAAAGTATGGAAGGGTGTTTAAAGGATGACGAAGAAGACGAAGATGAAAGTGAAGATGGATTCTTTGTTCCCGACGGATATCTCTCGGAAAACGAGGTATTTAACGCGCTTATATATTCTACAATTCTCCTCGGGATTTTATTATCGTTGCTTCAAAATTTATTGTATTTCGGTACGCAGGGAGTGAAGGTTGATGAAATGGAATGTGACGACGAAGTGGTTGAGGAAGTGAGAAATCTGCCTAATTCCGAAGAGAAAGTGCAGAGTCAAGAGTTATGTACATTGTACAGACAACAGAAATATCTGAATAATTTGACCGAACACGCACTTAAAAAGAACCAGCCGTTGATCGTATTGAATCTTGCGCACGAAAAAACCTCACTTTTATCAGCTGAAGAGCTGACTGGGACAGACAAGATTGAACGAACATTCTTGCAAACTCTTTCTATTCGCCCTATGCCTGGTTTTTCAGACATAGAAATATCTGTTTGTAATGACGTGGTCGACGAGGATAAAGAAGCTTCCTCTAACAAGGCAAGTACAACGCCTATTGCTTCTGGTGCTGCTTTGCTGGATTCTGATATGCCCCAGATTGTAAGTAATTCATTTTCTAATCGACTATTCTCTCGACCCGTATGCAAGTTTAGTATTTTCCGATATTTATTTTTGAATAAATTTTACAGATATCAGTCATTCAGTCGTGCCCTCATGGCATTGGGAAAATAGAGAAGTCGCTGTTTAGTAAGTTTCCAACTGTTCGAAAATCCCAGTTAAAGAGTAAAGTGCGTGAAATATCTGACTTCTCCGAAAATCGTTGGCAGGTGATAGAGCTTATCTCAAATACGACATATTTTGTACCTTTCCGATTGCTCAAACCTTTATTGCTTTACTTCGTTTTCAGGTTAAGAAAGAAATTCTGAGCAAGTACGGCCTTTCTATATCACCAGGTATTGATTTGATTGCTTTTAGACAATGTAAGGTTCAACTTTCTTTAGGCAGATTTTATACCAGCTGATGTAAAAATTCCAATTTTTTCCACCAACCATAATCGGATTTACTCGATTAAACCGATTCTTGAAAAGATTCCAATTTTTTCATTGGTGTATTACAGAGAAGAGTTGTGGAAAGACGAAGAGCATTGCCTCGTTCTTGAAAAGATGCCTGCCTCCATCGGTGGCCAATACAAACTCGAGCGAAAAATCTCCACAATCTTCGAAGAAAGCTGCTTCCGTAGTCGAACAACAGAAGAACAATTTGTGTTAATGTTTTTGATCATCGTACTGCACATGTAACTAATCATTTGATGTTTTTTTTTGGTCTGAACAAGATATGGTGGTGGGCTTATGAAAGATAAGTTTTTCTTTAATGCTATATGTAAGCAAATGTGTAGTGGTAAGGATTTATTGGAATATTTTGGCTATCAAGGAAAATAACTAGTAGAAATGTCTGGAATGCCCTTTGTTTTTTTATGAAAAATGGTTCGAAATTCGAATTGTGATATATCATCAAACTCTATTCAGGTTTATTCTATGCTACATCGGGTGAAATATATTAGGTATATCTTTATAAATGCAATTACGGTCTCCCCTCTAAGTTATGGTCAAACTATGAAAACTTCCCTTTGTTTTAGTAATTATAATTTCCCTTCAACTATGTATTATTTTACAAAAAGACCCCTCCAGAGGTAAATTTATGGATGTTAATTTGGTAAAACCGACACCAAAATTTCATATCGTCTACCGAACAAAATATACAAATTGGTTTGGTAAATAATCGAATACATAAATTTTATATAAAAATATTTTAAAGAAGGGGGCGGTTGTAATTATCTAAATAAGAGAGGTTTTTTCGTAATTTAGTCATACCCCAGGGGTGTGGTTGTAATTTGTCCTTATTTATAATTTATATACACGCGACCCCCATATTGGTGTGTGTAGATCAATTGTAAAAAATCACGCGGTATAGTCTCATCTAGTGTGGTATAGAAATAACCATGTATCTAATAGAGCATTTAGACTTGGATTGTGATATTCTATGCCAAACAACCTAAGACAAGTGTGGGAGATGTAGTTTTCTATCTTAGTTCTTAATTAAATTGCAACTTGTCCAATACAAGTTTCTTGCTTAGTCCAACCATATATAAGTTGGGTAATAGTCCTATTTATGAATCTAGCTAGAGCTAAATAACCTAACCGATTTTATTAACAATTTAATGATTTTAAAATCCTTTTTAAAAAGAAAAAAGAAATAGAAAAAATAAAGCAAAAGAGAAAAAATCAAGAGGTTTTAGCTCGTAAATCCATTTTGACTGGTTTCATATACTAGACAGTCTTTAATAGTATACTTTGGATACTGCACTTTCTCCCTTTAAGTTTCACTTATGTTTAGCTCGTTAATGCATGCGAAATGTGTGGAATGCCCTTTACTTATATTATTATTATTATTATTATTATTATTATTATTATTATTATTATTATTATTATTATTATTATTATTATTATTATTATTATTATTATTATTATTATTATTATTATTATTATTATTATTATTATTATTATTATTATTATTATTATTATTATTATTATTATTATTATTATTATTATTATTATTATTATTATTATTATTATTATTATTATTATTATTATTATTATTATTATTATTATTATTATTATTATTATTATTATTATTATATTAT